ATCATCCACTCAGTTACAGATATAACAGGTGTGTTAGTTCAGGCTGGGAGCTTTGAAACAGGGGAGATCTGTGTTCAAATCCTGACTCCACCATGCACCTGCCCTGTGATCTTGCGGCAGATACTTGCCTGAGGACACAAGTCACCTGACAATGTCACTTATCTGAGAGGCCACTACCTGAGGAGGTCATTGCCCGAGAGGTCGGTTCCCTGAAGAGGTCATGTATAGAGAGGTCACTCTCCTGAAAGGTCACTTATCTGGGGAGGTCACTTATCTTCTCCCAACCAACTTTTGCTATAGGGCACGTGAGCTCACCAGAGAGACAGAAAGCAAAAAAATCACCCCCCACGGGAGATGGCCATGCTGCAATCCCTTCTCCTCTCAGGATTTTGGGCATGCATGCACACGTGCCTGGCATGAGTTTTAAATCACAGGTACAGGACTCGAACCGCAACTACATGAGAGTCCAGTGACGAAACAATTACGCCATCTGCTGGCCCCTCCAAACCAATTTATTTTCAGTTCGAGGATAGTCAGGAAAGTTCAGTCAAACATTTTAAGGTCTTCTTTCTTGAAGCCTGATCTGTAGACCAGCAGCTTATTCCTCACCTGGAAGCTTGTTGAAAATGTAGAATTTGGGCACCAGCAGGTGGCATGAAGGTTAAGGTGGCTAGATCCCACATGGCCACCTCTGTGGTTCGAGTCCTGGACCCAGCAGCTTGAAAATGACATTGGGTGCGTGTTTGCACATGTGTGCCTGGAATCTCGAGAGGGAAATGGAGAAGGGATTGTGGCTCTGCCCTGTCCTGGGGACCAGGGGGTTCTTTCTCTGTCTCTGTCTTTCTCTCTCGGGGGAGGGCACACACTCTATAGCAATAACTAAAAGAAAAAGAAGAAGAGAAAATAGAAAGAAAAGAAAATGCACACTTTCAGGACTCATCTAGGTCTTACTGAGTGGGGATCTGAGTCTTAAGCTCCCCAGGCGGCTGCGGAGCACGTTAACGTGTGAGCAGCAGGGGCTGCCTGAGAGCACTTGGCGGTCTACACGGCAGGGACTCCCCGCAGTCTGGGGCCTGGCATGCGCTCGCACCACGTGGCAGCATTTCACACTTCACACAATGTTTTCCTTCTGTCTTACAGTTTTCCCACGAGTTTAGGGTGCTTCACAGTCTGTGGCGTTATTCTAATACCTGCCTAATAGTCTCCTGAGTCCTTACACCATGCTTTGTTCTGTTTCCCATCTTGACCACTGCCAGTGCTTTCCTACTAGAAAATTGCACTTTAGTGAGCAGCCTTCTACACAGAGCTTTTCTGGACAGAGAAAGAAAAAAAAAGAAGAAAAAGACATTTATTAAAAAAAAAAAAATTGCATAACTGTCCTTCCAGAGTCAGGAGGTGTTGGAAGTCCCCTTTGATGCTATTATACTAAGGGAGCAGCCCCCCACCTGGCTGTACCCTCCAGGCAGTACTGGGGAGCAGCCCCCCACCTGGCCACACCCTCCAGGCAGTACTGTGGCAGTGAGAACTGCCCACTGCATGAGTGCATGGCTGCAGGGATGCAGGATGCCCCAGGGCAGAGGGATTGGCTGCACCTGCACAGCACCAATGCCCCCAATCACCTCGGAGCCCTGCTAAGCCTCTCCCATAGCCTGTCACCCAACAGGGCTGGGGGTGCTCTGGACCCCAGTGTTAGGTCTCTTCACCCTTCACTGTCTCCAGTCACCAAGGACTGGCCAAATCCCGGCCTGGTACAGAGAGAGCTCCTGACCCAGAACCAGACCCACACTCCACGCCACCCTCCACCCCATGTCTGCTCTGAGCTGCTTCTACAATGTGCAGAAATGGGGCTTCTCCCTCTCCAGAGGCGCTCCCAATTTCACACGATATAAAATTTGGGGAGAAGAGCTCTCGGCACCCATGTGGGGTGGCAGAATGAGTAGATAGGGAGGAGGTGGGGTGGGGTGGGAAGTCAGGGGAGGAGGTGAGGTGGGGTGGGAAGTCAGGGGAGGAGGTGGGGTCCTCACAGCTGCGGGCACTAGAGTCAGGACCAGGAGGACACATGTCCTGGGTGTCCTTTGCTGTTGACCTGACCAGGGATAAGGGGGAAATGAGAACAGCCCACTGGTCTCTGGGGAAGGCAGGGCCAAGTGGCAGCTATGGGTGGGCAGGCAGGGGGTAAGGTCTGCCAGGGCTCAGAGTTCTGGGCCTCTCTTCCACATGGGTCCCACAGGGTAAGCCTGGAGGAGGCCTGTCTACAGAGCATCCCATCGTCTTCCTGCAGCTGTGGAGTTTCAGGAGCTCCAAGGCTGCCCCATGGACCAAAGCATGTCCTGTGACCTCCCCACTCCAGCCAAGGGAGGACCTGGGCCACTTCTCCTGGATGTTCCTTCCAGATGCAGCTGCAGGTGGGTCCTCAGCCCACAGGAGATGGCACTGCTCAGCGCTCCCAGAAAGGCCATTGATTAAATGCCATGGAGGGGAGCAGTGACGTGGACTGCAGATGGCAGCTCAGAGCCGCAACCAGCCCGCGTGATTTATGGCCCCTGCCTTCATAAACACCCCGCTGCCTCGGCTCCCTGCCCTTGGGCAGGTCACTCTGGAGTTTAAGAGTAATTAAGAGAAGTGTTTCCTTTTTATAGCCAATTCTCTCTTATCTCAGGTGCTGAGGGGGTTGTGGGATTAAAAAACATCATGAAAGCGATGTCAAGTCACTAAGAAATAGTGGCAGATTAATCCAGCTTCAGCAGTGGGGACCCCTGAAGTGAGCAGAAAGAAAAGGCTGCTTTATCAGGCTTGGAATCCAGGAGAGAAGAAAAAGAAAATACTTCCCAGGACCCTCTCCCTGTGGCCAGGGAGCTCTGGCGTCCCTTTATCTCCAGCCCAGCTCAGAGCCTTCTCGGTGCCCCTCACTGACTCCATTAGGCCTGAGAATGCCCTCTTGGTTGGGCAAGGGTTGGGCACTGGGATTGGGAGGGCAGGGGGATGAAGATGTGTCCAAGGCCCTTTGGAATCTAATAAGGGAGATAACAAAACAGCAAAGGTCCAGCGTCCCCTGGCCAGTGAGGGGCCTGCAGGTTCCCAGGAGGGCAGGCAGCAGCTGCCATTCGTAACACAGGCCACCACCCCATTGACCGCATGGTGCTTTCTGTAACTCTTGCAAATGGACCTTCACCTTCCCAGACTCTCTTCCACGACCCAGGAGGTAACTCAGAGCAAAACAGCATGCCCTTAGCTTAGCCCACACCTTGCCTGGGTAGACATGGACATTCCTCCAGGCTTTCATTCATGCTGTCTGGGCTGTTAGAGTTTCCTCGAGTCCTGAAGCACAACCCTTATACCAGAACTGCATGCTCCAATTTACATCAAACCCAGGGAGGGCAGGGCAGCTGATGAAAGTGACTCAGAGCTGCAGGGATGAGGTGGTGAGGCGTGGACACCAGCACCAGCTTTGTGAGTTCAGCCATAGTTCAGGAAGCCTTTTTAAAATACGCACCTCCCCCTGCTAATCAATTGCTCCAAGCTGGCTCTTCTGAGTCCCAGTGTCCCAGGCTGGGGTTAATTGAAACAAACC